TGCTGGGGCCACACCGTGCTTTTCAGGAGGCACTCAGCATCTTTAATGTTTGTTCCTGAGGGAACAGCTATAATTTCTGCACGAGCATTTATTTTTTTTTAGGTTGATGTACAGGATTCTCTTCAATTGGCTTTCAAAATTTCCCTAGAAAATAGCTACATCTCCCTCAACTACTATGGAGGTCAAAGTTCTACCTACTATAATTCCTGACACAGCTCACTAACCTTTCTGTCTATGTGCCTCTCTCTCTCTCCCCCTACCATTTCCTAAACACTATCTCCATACTGCAGTGCTCTAATTCACTAACAAATCCAACCTGGTAGATAGAATGCCAGGAATATAAGTGCATGTTATTGTGCCTCTCACCACCAGAGTACCTCCCAGTGTCCAGGAGCAGTATTACAGGGATTTTCTTAGCCTAACACCTCTTTCAGTTATCTGACAACAGTCTGACAATGTATGTGGCCTAGCCATCCAGCCAGGTCACTGCTCAGTCCATTCCTCTTCTGGGGGTTAACAGAAAAGTCCAGAAAATAGAAAACTCAAAATCTAATGTATTTCAAGATCATCTCTGACCTCTGCGTGGCACTTGCTTGTCTTCTTTTATTCTTGACACCTATGTTTCTCCTCTTGGCCTGGGGGAGAGGTAGGAGAAGCAAGAGTCCACACCTCCTCTTGGTTCCAGCCCCAGGACCCAGTTTAGGTGGCTAAGGACCATTCCTCCACCATTTTCTCTGCGCTGCTCCTACTTTTACTTTGCTCACCAGCATCTTCACAAGACCTGCAGACTCTGCTTCCCTTGCCCCAACTTAGTGGTTCCCCACTGCACCTCCTAGGAACAGCTAAAGAAGCATTTCCTAAAAGCCAGTCTCAGTTCTTCCCTGTAGCAGCTGGATTGTACTGCTAGCTCTCTGCCCCTTGCCTTAAAACAATCAGTATCTCTCTTCTGTAAACATGAATCCCCCCAACCCCCCAGTTCTCTTTCTGGGACTGGGGTTGTATCTCAGCCCTCATTGGGGATCTGTTGAAAGGCTTTTGCCAACTCCCTTCAGCTGAACACGGTTCCCAGTTAGCCTCCCACTCTGGAGGGTTCAGCAGGCCAGCCTTCCCCTGTCAGTATCTGTCTGTGGTGATGTAGGAGGCAGTCTTTATGCTGCTCCCCTTCTCCCAACCTTTTCCCAATTGGTTGGGCAAGAGGGGAGCCTTGTCCTGCCTTTTCAGCAAGGTTTCAGGCCCTTGGAAGTACAGCCTCCAAATTCCTTCCTCAGTCATCATTCATTCCCAGGATCCTTTGGTCTCTATGTGTATCTATTGAACCCTTCCAAATCTTTAAACGGCCAAGCCAGGTGGTGGGGGAGGCTGACAACTAGGCACTACTGCCCTCCATGGCAGACTACCCCATCACAGTGAAATATTACCAAAAATGTGTTCTACTTGAGCTTCATTAGTCTCCAGTGATTCAACAGAGATCTATGGGCATGTGTCACCATCATATAACATCTGCTGTTGGGGCCCAACCATGCTCCACTAGAGGCAATGAAGGAATTGTTATTGGTTTCAATGAGAGCAAGAAAGAACAATATTTCTATGCTGCTTGGACGTCCGGGGGGGGGGGGGAGGAGCAAGGTTTACTAGGCATAAACAAGAGGTCCCCCATGCTTAACTTGGGCTAGCCGTACAGGTCATATAGAGCTTGCTTGTTATAGAAGCTTCTATTACGGTTTGAAATTTAAGATTGTAACTCATTTGTGTATATATGTTTACCTGCTTTAACCTTGTTAATAACTCATTTCCATTTCCTGTTTACTAAATCTTCATCTAATTTATTTCAGGTTGGCTACAAGTGTTGTCTTCGCTATAAGATCTAAGGGGCAATTGACCTGGGGTAAATGACTTGTCCTTCGGAACTGGGAGTAACTTTATTGTTGCTATTCTTGATGGAAGGGACCATCTATCACAAAGATACGCTCAGGTGGTAATGAGAGAGATCGGAATCCCCAAGGGGACTGTCTGTGATTCCATATTTAGGCTGTTATATTGCCTGGGGAGTTTACACTTGGTGTTAAGTGGTTGTAGAAATCTAAGTACAGAACTCAAGCAATTTGGGGATCATTCCCTGCTACCTAACAATCTGCCCTGAGGTTGGCACTCTCACTCTGGAGTCACTTCAGGCAGCGGGACATCTGAAGAAGAGCTCTGTGTAAGCTTGAATGCTTGTTTCTCTCACAAACAGAAGTTAGTCCAATAAAAGATATTACCTCGTCCACCTTGTGTCTCTAGTATCCTGGGACCAACACAGCTATAATGACACTGCATCCTACATAGGAGCAAGGTCAGTCGCTGTATGGCATTTACATTATATATACATATAAAAATTAAAGTTCTTTAGTTTTTAGCAAAAAGAAGAACAGGAGTACTTGTGGCACCTTAGAGACTAACAAATTTATTAGAGCATAAG